TGAAAGGAACAGCTTAAATTTTTTTTAGTATTTTGACCAATTTTGCATGCTTATATCTGGTAATCTGAGCAATTGATATGAAGACAACAATATGCAATATAACAACCATTGGTGAATTCCTACCATCCTGTCTAGTGAAACTCTGTATTGTCTCTCACAATTTTTTATATTATTTTCTTATTCTCTTTAGAGGTTTGATCAATCTTGCATTCTTACATCTGGTAATCTGAGCAACTTCGTTGAAGGTAACAATATGTAATATAACAACCACTGTTAATTCCTATCATTTGGTTTGAAACCCCATATCATTTTTAATGTTCTTGCTTTGTTTTGTTTGTACTTTGCTATATATATATATTTACTGTTCTCTTTAAGGTAAAAAAACACAAAAAATGAAGATAACATTACCTAGCTGTAGGGGAGTATTAATTTATTTCATAAATGTTTAGTATGTCTAAATACACGCCAGGCACTGCATTAGGGTCCAGAGATAAACCAACAATGAGAATGACAGCAAACAAGGACACAAGTGGGAACAGGGAGTTAACCCCCTTCTGTTCTGTGGTTTTGCATTCATTCCTTGGAGGACTCAAACAGTAACCGACAGAATCACCGGCACATGTGAAGATGCTAACAGACTGGGCTGTAAAGGTGTCCTTACTGACCTCAGTGTCTCAGCAGGGAAGCCGTACAGAGTTCAGATTGCCCAGCCCAGCTCACTCCTTCCCATTATCTTTTAGGAGGAGGAGTACACATGCCTGGGTTCTTTCAGAAGAAGAGGCGCATCTTGTTTTTTTCTTCATGTGCATTCCAGCAGCAACTTGCTTTTTAAAGGGAAAACACACAGCCCCTTCCTGATGTCTTCAGCCAGCAGATATTTACTCTGCCTTTATCAGCTGGGTTACACATGTTGTGGTGGGAAGGGCTGTGATGTTTGACAGCCTGTCCCTCCCTGAGCACCCTGGCTTAGTGTGGCAGCGTCTGGAGATCTACTTGTGACTTAGTGTTTACCCTAAACAGAGATCTGTACTACAAGCATTTTTGGCAGACTCGGTCTTGACTCTCACAAGACATGTCATGGACAAGGTTCCTGGATGGGAAGTCCTCATGTCTATCGTGCCTTTCAGAGAACGTGTCCTGCTGGTTCTGCAATCTGACCCTCATTACAGTTTTGTGATTTTAAGAAAGACACTTCTTATCCCTGTTTTACAGATGAATGGGCTTCAGGAATAAGTGGTTGTGAGCAATTCCACAGTTGTGGGCTGTGGCAAGCCATTATGGAAATGCAGGGGTTCTGATACCCACTTCAGCACCCCATCCCCGCACCATCCTGCCCACCCCACTGTCATGGCTCTGCATGAGTAAGGGATGTGTTTGCCTTGACCTTAGTCTATTTTTCATCCAAGCACGGAAGTCAGCACAGAGAGAACAGCATTCTGTGCTATCAGCATTTCTTTTGACAAGTGGAGTTTGGGGTGTTCATCTCCCAAGAGCTTCTCTGTGGTTTGTAACCTTGCTAGAGGAAATGGACAGGGGATGTATCCAAAACAGAATCAAGATGGCTTTGAGAGAAGGCCCACATCTCCAGGCCTTACACAGGATCAGAGGAGTTAGAAGGGAGTATGACCATTACAGTAGCATCATGTCTTTTTATAACCAGTAAGCCCTCAAAGTAACTTCTGAAAGTAGGAGTGTTCCTATCACATTGACACAGCCTTGGGTGCTGGCCTTGAGCAGGTGCTGTGTGGTACAGTTACCTACATCCTTCTCCGGCTTTGGGCTGGCCTCAAAGGGCAGCCTCTGCTGGGATGAGGGGTTGGCTTTGGGGGCAAAATTACTGGATTCCTGGGGTTCATTTTGGTCGGAGCACAGTTTCTCAACCTTAGCATGATAGACATTTTTGATCACATAACTTATTTGTTGTTGTGGTTGGAGGCTTTCCTGTGCATTTCAGATGCTCAGACACATCCCTGGCTTCATCTCACTAGGTGCCAAAATCACCCAGCTGTGACAGTCACAAAGGTCTCCAGATCTTGTTAACAATTCCCAGGGGAAGCATCAGAATTACTCCTGATTTCATACTGCATACAGGCTGTGGTACAGCTCATCGGTAGCATCCTTGTCTAGCACGTGTAAAGTCTTGGTTGGCTCCCAGCAACGCCCATGCGTGCACGCACACACACAGAGCCACACACACAGTCTCACGCACTTACATAGACACACACACACACACACACACACACACACACACACACACAGAGTGAGGGGGATGTAGAATGGTTTCCAATAAGCAGAGCTTGTGTAAGAAGATAGGGCTCCCAGTGGCAGTGGCAAATAGGAATGATCTGACCTACAAATCTGACGCATATTTTCCCGAGAGACACCTTAATATCAGAGACTCCCCATGTACACGCAGTGTAGAGCTATCAGGAGACGGCAAATCACACAGAAGCCACAGAGAGACTTACCAGCTTTTTTGAGTTTTTCTCCTTCATTGAGAGGCACCCCGTGACAATAAACTGTTAAAATGACAAGAATCAAAAGGTAACAGGTGACACTGCTGAACTGTTCTGCAGTAACATCTCCCCACTGTCCCTCAAGGGGTTTTCTGAGCTCTGAGAACACAACAGCCAGCGAGGCAGCATTCCGGACCGTGTGCGAGCATGTGCTCTAATGTGGGCAGCTCCAGAGTCCACCCTTAAATACACGGCAGGTGGTTGGGAACCAAGGCTCCCGTGACTGGGTGGAAACAGTGCTGCTGAGAATCGCATTCATGGCTCTCTTGTCTCTGGGCTGAGGAGGGAGTTATAATAATTTTAACATTCATAGGCTACCAGAGTCTATGATCCAAGAGCACCAGATAGACATGCTTAAATCGTTGCCCACTCTCAACCTTCCTTTCCCCGGGGCTGCTCTGTGGCCTCCTGGCTGCCGGGAGGGGTACTGTATAGAGGTCGTTCTCCAGGGATGACTCAGCTCACACCAGGCCCCACAGCAACTTCCCAAGCGATACTCACGATGGCGGGTCCCCAGAATGGGTAGGCTGTGAGCACGACGAGGGGGAAGGCTTTGGAGAACAGGATGGAGTTCATTGCAAGTGTAATTCCGAAGCCCACAGTGATCAGAGCAAGCAGGATCTGGACCGCCTGTGAGGAGAAAGTATACATCCGGTCATTGTCTGGCCTCTCCGCCGCGTGCCTTCCCTCCTCCGAGGGCCCCTTTGCACCGCCGGCCGCTCCCATGTTGTCCGTCTAAGCCCGCCCCTCCTGCTTGCCTGCATCTTCTGGGTTCTGATCTTTTACTCCTATCCTTTATTTCCTACGTTCCCTGTACTACAATTTCTCTTGTGTTAGGTGTACTTGGCTAAGTGTCAAAACTGTAAACTACTTTTTTAAAAAGTTAGTTAAGCTTGTTGGTACTTATTTATTTATTTATTTATTTATTTATTTATTTAGTCTTTTTGAGACAGGGTCTCTCTATGCAGTTCAGGCTGGCCTTGAGCTCATTTCGTAGCCTGGGCTGGCCTCAAACTTGCAAGGATCCCCCTGCCTCCACCTCCTGAGTGCTGGGATTACAGGCGTGCGCCATCACGCCTGCTCTGTTGGTGCATTTTAGGTACACACGATGATCATGTCCATCATAGGAATGTGTACCTGCTCATCATATATCTTGCTTCTTCTCCTTTTCACATTCCCCTCCCCTCCCTTCAACCCCTCTTCCCCTCCTTATTTACAAAAGCTCTGTTTCGATTTTCCCCTTTTCTCATTTTTTCCTTTCCCTCCCTTCCTTCCTTTTTGCTTTTCCTTTCCTAGTTCTTCCCATTTGAACATTTTCAAACAGCCCAAATGCCCCTCAACTGACGAATGGATAAAGAAGATGTGATATCTATATCTATCTAGATCTATATCATCAATGTCTATATCTATATAATCTATATCATCTACCTCTATATCATCTATATCTTTATCTAGGTAGATAGATGAGAACTACACAGTCATAAGAAAAGTAAACTTGAGACACTCCTAGGTAAACAGATGCACCTTGAGACCATACTCTTACATGAACTAAATCAGACGCATGTGTAAACACTGCATTGTTTCTCTGGTGTGAGAAACCAGAAGTGTAACTAAGGATGAAAATGTATAATAGATGTGTAAACTTCCTGAGGATGGGGATTGCAGACTATTCACCTTCTCTTTCCTGCTTCCGTAGCACTAGCATTTTGTGATTGTTCTCCTCACAATCTGCCGCCTTCCCACGTTCCCCACTGAACACAGTCTGGCCTCAGTACCCCGGGCACTGGTGTAAGCCCCTCCAAGAACATTGTACTACCAAACTCCACCGCTGCTGGAGTCCCTTCTAGAAAACAGCACAGCACTGCAGGTGTCAGCACATCCTCCCATTCCCTTTACTTTTAAATTTTTATTTGTAATTATTTTACTGGCGTACTTTTGTGATACACACTAAATACCCTCATCATGAGGAATTAGTACATAAACATGTTGCGTCTTGATCCTTGTCAGCTCCTCTTCCCTCCCTCCTTCCTGCCCTCTCCCCCACCCAGTCCCCTTCCTATCCAGGTGACTTACAATGTATGAATGCTACAGAAACTGTTAATATATTGCCTTGTTGAGGGAACAGTGACAAGGAAAAAAAGTGCATTTTTGGTACAGATAAAATTTCCATTTTGATCCATGGTTGGTTGACTTTTGGTTACAGAGCTTGCAGATTTGGAGGCCTAGCTGTGTCTGGCTTTTGGAATTAGGCTCTTGTCCGTTCTGTAGATGTGCGCAAAGTCTGTTGCAGTGGAGAGGTTGGGGTGCGTGTTGTGCCTCCATCTCCCCTTCCTCCACCGACCTGACTCCACGCGGTGATGACCCAGCCAGCCAGGACTGCAGGGAGGCGGCCCCATGGTTGGAGGCTCTTTGAGGGCTCTACTACTGCACTGGCTGCAGCTGTGCTCCCAGGCCACCCCCCCACGGCCCACAGCCGGTAGCGATCTACTCTCATGTCAGGGGTGGGCAGCGTGCACACCTCTCCCCACTGCGAAGATGGGGGAAGTGGTACTACTGGCTCCTTTAAAGGTGCCCCAATTCTTCATCCTGTGAGGAAAGGACTTAGAGGTACTGCTGTGGCTCAAGGGTACACTGCGGATGAAGGGCAAAGGAGGAAACAAGAGAGACTCAACTCCCTCCCTGAAAGTCCTTGCACAGTAATATCTCTGGAAAGAAGACAGAGAAAGGACTTCTGTCCCCTCCAGGAAGACCCGTGACTGGAGAGAACTTACCCCCAGAACTTTTGGCTCTCCCCGTAGGAACTGGAGCAGAGAGCTGTGAGGTGTGCAGGGAAAGCCGGCCAGCACGTGTGCATTCGGGTGGACAGCGACGACGCGGGTCCCTCTCTCCTCCTGGGGTGCTGACTGCATGATTTGGTGGTAGAGCTCTACTAAGAGAAGGAGGGAGGGGACACTGCAGGCAAAACCATGGTCTGTTTCTCCCCAGCGTCACCTGGAGCCCTTTGCAGTGCCCTTAGTGATTTCTCTCCTCAGCACTAGAACCCCAGAACCTCAGCCATTGAGTCACAGAACCTGGGAGTTCTAGAGTGCCTCCTGCCTGCTCTCCCAGGGGAAGGAAGTGGTTACTCAGGAGCGTGTATGTACACGTGTGATAAGCACAAGGTAAAAATGTAAGTTGTCTAGGTTACTGTCTGACCATATTCCTTAAGGGTGTAACAATTAATAGTGAGCAGTGGCAATTTTTCCATCTTTATTGAGGTTTAATTGACAAGATTATATATGTGTATGCTGTACAACATGGCACTTTGAGGTGTGCAAGCCTTGTGAAATTACTACAATCAAACCCATTAATAGACCCATCACCTTGCTTTGCTATCTTTTGTTGTCTGATGAGAACCTTTAGGATCCATACTTTTTAACTTCAAGTTAAGTAAAGAATCAAGAGTGAGCAAAATATAGGACCAAGTATAGTTGGTGCTTTAATAGAGGATATTTTAGTTTTATAAAGAAGAGTAAAAATATTCTAGGTAAGTGCTTTTTTATTTAGTCTTTGTAGCTACTAATTAAAGCAACATTTGGAATTTAGCTTTTCATGTGAATCTCTTGTATTCCTATATGTTATTTGAGCTATTAAATCATGAAGGCAAATAGTCTCACATAATTAAAAGGAATGTATATGATTATGATCTCGAGTGTTTCCTAATTTGTGGCAGTCACAGGCAGCAGGACTTCTTAAGGAGCTTGGTCGCCTGATTTCCAGGTGTGGGGTGGTTCTGCATGCGATGCTCAGCCACATCTCTGCCTCTGCTCGCTAATGCCACTCCTGCAGCCTCATCGGGGACACAAAGAATGCGGCGTCCAGACACCGTGCCTGTCCTCCGGGGGCGGGACCCCTGTGGCAGCCACGAGCGAGCTGCACTAATTGCAGTCTCCTCCGCACAGGTTTTCAGGATGGAAAACACTTCTGTTTCTCACACCTACGTTTCAGAGAAGGGAAACAGTTCTCAATGTGGCATTTTCCTGCCAGTTCTTACTTGGGTAAACTTATTTATTTATTATCAAGTGCAAAGTAACTATCTATCTATCTATCTATCTATCTATCTATCTATTTTCTATATCTACCTACCTATCCATCTATCATATCTATTTATCTATCTTCTATCATCTATCTCTATCCATCCGTCTTCTATAATCTATCATCTGTATCTATCTATCTTCTATCATCTATCTCTATCTATCTATCTGTCTATCTTCTATCATTTATCTATCTGCCTACCTACCTATCCATCATCTATCTGCCACCCATCACGTTTGTAGCACACGCTGTTTACATTCACCTTATGGAGTAGGTACATGCACATAACACATCTTGATTCTTTTCAATCCTTTCCCACCCCACCCCTCCCTCCATCTCTAGATCCCCTCCCCTTATTTTCATCATCATTATTTTCATTGTCTCTTCATTCACGTTTGTGACAGACATACAGTGATTATATCCATTTTGCATAGCTGGTACTTGTGCAGGATGCATCTTAAATCTTTTTGCACCTCCCTTCACTCCCTCCCCCTAAATCAAGCAATCCGTGAAGCAAGTTTATGATTAAATTCTAAGCAGAACTGACAAACCATCAGACTCTTGCAGGGAAGTTTAAAAATCATGCCTTGACAGTTAATGGAAATGCACTCACGTGGTGCTATAGCCACACACCACCAAAAAAAAAAAAAAAAAATCACCTCTTTGAAACCAACCCTCTGATTATTTGGTGGTGAAGGAGTTGTAGTACAGTGGCACCGCAGTTCACAAACTCAGTTCTCTCCATGATTCTGGCCACAAACCCAACTGGGTGAGAACTGAATCAAATGTCCCCCCCGAGGTCAACATTGAACCTACATGTTGACTTTGATTTGGTTCTTGTCCAACTTGGTTTGTGACCAGAACTGTGAAAGAATTAAGTACCATGTACAGCATTTTCAAACCAACATGTTAATGTGTTATTCATACACAGACATTTTACCACTCTGTACTTCTGTTTTAGAACATTGGATGAGATTTTGGATGGACTAGTAGCACATATATCTCCTTTAAAATGGTGGCAAAGGGCTGTCTTCATATGTAACTTTTTGGTACTGATTTTTGGGAAAAGTGTGTTGGTATTAAGTAAGAGAAGCCTATAATTCTGTCTTGGCTATTTCAGAATTCATCTCATTTTATCTTTTCAGCTAGCTTGTAATTGCCAGGCCTGGCCTTTTCCCCTGCTTCTCAAAGATGGACCCTCTAACATTTCAGTCTAAACTCAGACCAAAGGTAGGGACCCACGACCCTGATTCTAACATGGTATCTTCCTTTTCCCTGCATCTAATCCTTGTGTTCACGGAATTGAGCAGCACATACTCTTGTATGTGGGTTGTCATGCATTCCCACAGTTTCTGTATATTACTTTGTTGTCTGAATGTGTCTCAGATTTGATTTCTCTGTTGCTTATAAGCATTGCACAGTTTTCATTTGGGGACTCTTTCATGTGTTACAGCCCTGATGGCTTTTGTGTGTGTGGAAAATCTACATATGCATTTCTGCTGTACACTCTCCTCCTAGGTGGGACCCAAGTCCAGGACGCAGGGAACAGTTTTAGAAACGCTTTTATTAGGCAGGCTGTGTTGGTTTCCCTGACACAGTGATAAAGTTGAGACTACTTCTGTGCCTACTTTCTTACTTGGTCTACAACTTAGATAGGGGGAGCATCACAGTGAGTTACAGCATTTGAATTGAAATACTTAAGCATAAAGTCATGAAATAAGACAAGTGTGTCATATATTTTCAAAGCACTTAAAATGCTGTTCAAGTTCTCAGTGTCTCTGTGTACACAGTGTGAGTGTGAACACGACACAGAAGTGGGAAGGAGAGCCACGCATAGTTAATTCACGCAGTGCAAGCTCACGCACGTTCTCTTCCGACACAGTACAACCTAGAGAAGGTAATGAAGTTTAGGGCCGTTCTGGGAAAGTGAACAATAAAATTTTACTGATCTGTGCTTCTGGGAAGTTATCTTGAAGAGCAATAAAATGACTCAAAATGATTCAAACTGAAAGTACAAAATGAAAGCTTCTCTTTTTCAAAGTTTACTTCCGTGTTTTAAATAGCTGAGACTGCAGGAAGTCCGGTCACTGCTTTTCTCTTTTTCCCTCTAAACCAAGCATAACTCACACCCAGGACTTTGAAGCATTCTTGATGTGTTGGACATAATCTTGTGGTGGAAGAGAGGAGAATGCACTCTAGAAAAGATTAAATTAAAAAAAAGTCACAAGCTTTTCCCTGTTTCTGTGAGTTCACGTATGCGGTACGCGATGAACCTGTCCCTGCTGTGGAGGTGGTGCCCGTAATACCCATCCGACTTCCCTTTCACTCCGCCCCTCTCCCTCCCTGCACCTCTTGGCTCCCTTCCCTTCTGCAAAAGATCTGTCTCTTGCTTCCTATTATCTGTCTTTTAATTTGTTCTTCTCTGAATGAGAAACCCAAACTACAAATAAAATTTGTTAGTGGCTTTTAAACTTTGGTCTTGGAGGGAATTTTGAGTACATACTTTAATATATCCCGTCCTCAAATTTTGGGTAGTAATATCTTGTCCAGTTTTGCCACAATATATGATCGCAGCAGTGTTAGTTCAAACAAATGCTATTCCCCAGCCTGGCAATCATTTTGCTATGTTTCTAATAGGATCATGGCTGAGTCATAATTCACCCAAACCATATAAAGATTTTCTTTTTTGTTGTAACTTTTGGGAGAAATAGACACACTTTGAAATTATAATATTGAGAGTTAAGAGAAAGTAAGGAAGCCAGGCATGGTGGTGCACACCTATAATCCCAGCACTCGGGAGGCTGAGGCAGGAGGATCGTTGCAAGTTCGAGGTCAGCCTGGGCTACAAAGTGAGCTCGAGGCCAGCCTGCACTGCCTAGCGAGACCCTGTCTCAAGAAGACCAAAAAAAAAAAAAAAAAAAAAAAAAAAAAAAA